TGACCTCTTGAGGTCCCTTCCAACCCTGATATTCTATGATTCTACTCTGGCAGAGTCTCAGCAGAATATGGCCACTCCAATGGCTGGACATGTGGTGCCTGGCAACTAATGACCCTGGACTGTCCCCAACCCCCGCAGGAAGCCAGCTGGTTTTGTCCAGGTGTGGACAGAGAGCTAAGGTAGATAAGCAGGTGACCTTGTTCAGACCAGGAAGAGGAACAAAGGATGGAGGAGAGACCCTTGGGGTTGTATAGTGTGGGCTGCTGGAAGCAGGAGACACGCTTCTGGACTGGGGACAAAGGAGGAGGGGTAGGACTGACCCAGGTGGACTATGCTGTAACGTTTTCTATTCTCGATGCTAAGTAAGGACTTTCTATGCTGTGTTCCAGATATGTAATAAACCCTTCTATTTTTACAATGCTATCTGAGTCACTGAGGTTGGGGGTGCATTGCTTCCTTTGGATATGCAAGTCTCCCCCCAGGTGGCCAATTCGAGTGGACTCACTGAGTGAAATGGGTGCTGAAGGCTCTGAAGTTCGGACCCAGGAGGCAGTGAAGCTAAGGGGTTAACACACTAAAGGGCTTCTCCCAGGGACTGTTCCAGAGCTGTGCAAGGCCCCAGACCTGTGAAGCCTTAACATTGAGGTTCTCTCCCTGCCCCTCATTTGAGCCAGCATCTGGAAAAGTCCTGCCCCTTTGGATGGGGAGCTGAGAACATGCATACTTCATGCATATCACAAACTGTAAAGCAGGAGGTGGATGGGAACACACATTGAGATGCATGGAGCAGTTCACATGTCTCAGATCTATTGTTTTAGATTATATTAATCTCCGTGGGGTGTTTGCATGCTGAGAACATCACATTGAAACGAATGTGCCACTTCACACCTTTCAGACCCTCCTATGCTGTCAGTGGATGTGTAAAGGAGCCCTTCCCATCCTCACTTCCTCTTTAAAGGACACTTCTGACTGCTCTAAAATCTGCATGCTTGCATTGGGTTTCTTGAAATTACCTGTGACTTGTGGGAGTGCAGAGTAGGGTTGGTGATTCAAACTTGGGGTCACTTGAACTAGGGTTTCCGGAGATATAACCTGGGAGGGGAAAATAGCCATTTTTCAAAAAAAATTGGTGCGTTTTGGGTTTTTTGTGCCGAGGTAGAGATCAAACTGTTGCTGTGATGCAGGTCAAAATGGTCTCAGTCAGTTTTGATCTCAGGTTTTGCATGGCACCTGCTAATTCTCTGGGGGACTCTGGAAAAATTGCTGCCCCAACAGACCCACTCCTTTGCTGTATTTGGCCCTGCATCAACTTCTGCCTTAATTCCCCCGCCTTCTTTTTGCCTCTTCTGTGTGTAGTAGTGTTCTGGCTACTTCCTGATCTCTGGACAGATGAATGTGGTGTTTCCAAAGACACACAGCATGGAAGTTGATCGCTGACGGAAAAGAAGGATGTGCGCTGCCTGGGTTGGCAGCATGTGGATTCTTGGTGATTCCTGGATCATGAGATTGCAGAAGTTTGCAGGAGAGCAAGAAGTACACCATGGCTTGGGGATTGCTGGCTACAGGCTGATCTGGGTGAAGAGAGTTGGCTTGCATTAGCATCATGTTTTACCCACTCTGCAGCATCTAACTGGTGACTTAAGAGGTTGTGATCTATTGGACCTCATGGTGATTCACTCAGGTGGAAATAATCTGGTTTTTTTTATTCCTGGTATACACCTCAAACCATGTCTGATAGCAGATTTGGACGGCATCAGAAATGTGTGTCCAGGAGCTGTGTAATAGTTTTCTCTGGTTTGGCTGAACATTTGAATAATCAATACAGTGACAATATGAAAGCTGTTAAGAGTCAGAACAATATTAATCAGGAAATGGGCAGGTGTGTGGCTACCCAGGAAATGTATATTGCAGGGGTCGGCAACCTTTCAGAAGTGGTGTGCCGAGTCTTCATTTATTCACTCTGATTTAAGGTTTTGCGTGCCAGTAATACACTTTAACGTTTTTAGAAGGTCTCTTTCTATACCTCTATAATATATAACTAAACTAATGTTGTATGTAAAGTAAATAAGGTTTTTAAAATGTTTAAGAAGCTTAATTTAAAATTAAATTAAAATGCAGAGCCCCCGGGACCGGTGGCCAGGACCCAGGCAGTGTGAGTGCCACTGAAAATGAGCTTGCACGCTGCCTTTGGCACGCGTGCCATAGGTTGTCTACCCCTGGTATATTGTATGACACAAAAACATTATTCTTTGAGTGATTGCACATGTCCATTCCACTTTAGATCCGTGCATGCCTCGTGCATGGCTGTTGGGGAACTTTTCCCCTCCCTAGTACGGGTTGAAGCGGTTTGAGTGTTCTGTCGCTGCATGCCACTGCATGCTGGTATAAGAGGGCAGAGCTGCCCCTGACCCCTCCCAGTTTCTTCTTACCATCATGGTAATTGGAAGTCTTGCTATTGTCAGTTTATTTCCCTCACTCTTTGCATAAAGTCTGTTTTTTGTTCAGTAGTTAGTTACAGTGTATAGTTAATGATAGGTTTTAGTTTTTGATCTCTTTTGGACCAAATTTGATTCTCTGGTCCGGAACTGGTAGAGAGAGTCATACCTCTCTCTCTCTCTGGGGTTTAAGTCATAAAAACATAAAAATGGCCATACTTCAGATCATAGGTCCATCTAACAGGTTCCTGTCTTCCCACAGTGGCCAATGCCAGGTTCTTCAGACGGAATGACAGAACAGGTAATCATCAAGTGAACCATCCCCTGTTGCCCATTCCCAGATTCTGGCAAACAGAGGCCAGTTACACCATCCCTGCCCATCTTGGCTAATAGCTATTGATGGACCTAGCCTCCATGAATTTATCTAGTTCTTTTTTTGAACCCTGTGTGACAGACCCAGACCAGTGGGGTACAGGAGTCTGGTAGAGGGCAAATATACTGGTCACTGGATGAGTAGTTTTCTGTTCCCTGCGTGACCAGAGCAGTGGCTGCACTAGAGTAATCAGGAACCTGCTAGAACCAGTTAAGGCAGGCAGGCTAATTAGGACACCTGGAGCCAATTAAGAAGCTTCTAGAATCAATTAAGGCAGGCTAATCAGGGCACCTGGGTTTTAAAAAGGAGCTCACTTCAGTTTGTGGCGAGAGTGTGAGGAGCTGGGAGCAAGAGGCGCAAGGAGCTGAGAGTGAGAGGGTGTGCTGCTGGAGGACTGAGGAGCACCAGCGTTATCAGACACCAGGAGGAAGGTCCTGTGGTGAGAATAAGGAAGATGTTTGGAGGAGGCCATGGGGAAGTAGCCCAGGGAGTTGTAGCTGTCATGCAGCTGTTACAGGAGGCACTCTAGACAGCTGCAGTCCACAGGGCCCTGGCCTAGAACCTGGAATAGAGGGCGGGCTTGGGTTCCCCCCAAACCTCCCAATTGACCTGGACTGTGGGTTCTTCCAGAGGGGAAGGTCTCTGGGCTGTTCCCCAACCCACATGGTGAATCTCTGAGGCAAGAAAATCCGCCAATAAGTGCAGGACCCACCAAGATAGAGGAGGAACTTTGTCACACCTGTTATAGTCTTGGCCTTCACAACATCCTCTGGCAAAGAGTTTCACAGGTTGACTGTGTGTTGTGTGAAGAAATAGTTCCTTTTGTTTGTTTTTAAACCTCCTGTTTTAAGTCCTGCTAGCCGTGTGCCAGGCCAGTGCCGGTCAGTGACCCACACCCCAGCTTCCTAAAATGTTGGGGGAGTTTCACATCAGTGAGAAATATCACCTTTTATAGACGTTTTAAACCTCACTCAAAAAAAATAGAGCTGTGAGACTTAAATATTTCCTTATGGAGGCAGCACTCCATTGGAGCTGTTGGGTTCAGAGTGCGCTCCAAGTGCGGCTCCATCTGTACAGAGTGTACCTCCTGAGAGGCCTTGGCACTGTGTTCTGTATCT